TTTTTTTTTCATAATCCAAAAAATTTTCTCGTCAGCCCTTCAGAGAATATGCAGACCTTCTGTGCGAAACCGTCAGATCCACTCAGCATTGATGATATGCGAGACAGTACGAATCGCATTGTTTGTTCGGCGAAGATGTCGCAAGCAGTTTGTGAGGCGCGGTCTCACACGTACGTCAATTTTCTACATCAACTGGACGATTCTGCTAAACTAAAGGTTAAAACCTCAATATGGAATTAACAGAGAGAACAACAACAATTTCACGAACTATGCTTCTTCTGGGCTACCGTTTCATGATTCGATTACTCTGTGATCGCACATGGTTTTACCAATACCGAAGGAGATTGATCGGATGGTACTTGTTGAGAAAAAAAAAGCAGCAGCGGCGAGTGAACGAGGAATGAAGAGCAGATTTGTTTCACTTTTTTAACTTGTTCCTGTATTGCTTATCATGTTTATTTCGCAAAATTCTGTGATTCTTTTTAGTAATAAACCTCTTTTTTTTGTACCAGCAAATGATCTTTTAATAATGTTTGGTCTTCGACCCATTTGACTATTTTATATTTTGCGTTGTTCTTTTTTTTTTCTTTAACTCAAAACTCATATTTTTTTGGAATACTTGGGAAGGCACCACTGGTTCGCCACTGATTTTTGCCTAATTTTCGGCAAAAGATCTGTATCTGGTGCTAATTGGTGAGTGCCTGCATAGTTACTGATGGAAATTTTGTTAAAAGTTGTTGATTGATCTATTTTTCGTTTGTGAGTTCATGTGCTATGGGTCGCAGATGCGTTGCAAGGGGAAAGTGAGGTAGTGGGGGAGTCCGAGGCAAATTCGACAGTAGAGGTGGTGACGATTTCGTATGAAAGAAAGCAAAGTATTAAAAAAAATATATCAAAAAATAATCAGATGAAAAGGATTGCTTCGGTATTTAAGGAGTCTGACGTATTAAGGTGGTGAAAGACAATTGCTGAAAGTTTGGAGTAGAAATCTGATGATATAAATTGCTTCGTTTTACGTATTTAAGTGTTTCAGAAGTTTTGAAGATGCGGACTGTGAATATCCCTGGCTAAGAGGTTGGAAGAAAACGTGGGGCTGAAGTCTTCTATGTGTTAAAATACACAGTTTGTTTGGCGCTGCTGGCTCACCGTGGAAACAAACAAAGTCGAATTTTGACAGTTGTGGAAAAATTAGAAGTGCCACTTAGATCTCTCAGATAAGCAAACCTGTATGTAAATTGAGCTGGTATTCTGTCTGTGTTTCATCCCTGAGCTCTGAACGCAGGCGGCAGAATCGGTGTGGAATGGGGTGGGGGTCATCATAAACAAATCAGGATCACTTATGAGGCCGGGAATTCGATTTTTGTTTTCAGGTCGCTTTTGTATCCCACTATACGTGTTATACTCCTTAATATTTTGCTTGCCCGCCACATTAATTGACACTTTATTGCAGGTCTTTGTTTTCCATGCACGCAGGTATTAAACGCTAAAAATGCCGAAGAAATTTGCTGGTGAAAATACAAAAGCAGCAGCAGCGCGTGCACGTAAAGATGCAGCCAAGAAAGAGCAGGAGGAAAAGAAGAAAAAAGCCGAGGAAGATGCGTACTGGCAAGACGACGATAAAAATACCGCTCGAAAACAGCAGCGCAAAGTTAGTGGACAAGTTTTTGTTTTTATCTAGGTTTATAATTTACTGAAAGTTGCGTCACGTTAATTTATAATAAAAAATACGTAGATTAAAAATAAATTAACATTTAATAAGTGTAACCACGATCAGCATATTTTTAAGTGATCTGGCCAGTCGACAGTCTTGCCAGCGAGTGGTTGCTTTTGGCATTTACTTCTACTTGCACTACTTCAAGAGTGCTTTCACAGCTCACGGGAGGCAAAGATGAAGGAATTTCTGGCTTTTGATTGACTGTTTTAATTTGAGCTCTGTGCAGTAAGAAGTGACAGTGCTTTCATGCTGAAGGTTGAAATTTTGCCTCCACCAATAGAACAACAGTCCCTATACAATTCATTCTTCTTTTCGATGATAAATTGGTACGATCGCCTGTTAAGCAGTTAAAACCGCTGTCAACTTGTTTCTTAGCAATCCTCGCAAGAAAGAGCCATCAAACAGCCTTGTCAGCGAGTGGTTGTTATTGATAGATTTCCAAGTACCTCCACCTCTCATAGTATTGAAATACTTTGACTTTTGGCTAATTAACGTAAGACTAAGCTTTGCAAGGTTTTGCTATTATTCTCATTATAACAGTTACCTTTACCATGAATACCTTGAACAGCTGTTGTTTCATCGATCTCTGATGTCACGCCATCGATGCAGCTGGCAACT